CTATATAAATATGGTTTAGTCGGTGGCCAGATATTGATTATTAATTATCAATTGACTCTGATATTTACTAGGTCTGCGTTTTAAATGTAAAAGAACCTACATATTAAAGTGACTCTCACACTCTGCCGTGTAGGCCTACCGTGTGCCACCGTGCGCGAAAATGTCTGCGGACGGTGGAGAACGGCGAGGGCACACGGTGGTTCGTTATCAAAGCAGGCGACATGTTAATAGGGCGTTGGCGCTTATTTACACCCGGTGGGACCCGGCGAAAGTTTTGGGCATGTTCCGGCTGGCACCGGCCGCAAGTAAGCGGCAAGAGGACGGTGTTGAACGGTATGAGGACGGTATGAATACGTTATGAAAACGGTCACACTGTATGAACACGTTCACAACACGCTCATAACCCGTTACAGAACGGTGATGAAAAATGGAGAGCGGACTGACCGTTGCCGTTTAAATCGGGGTATTTATGGCAGTCGTGTCATGACGTCAGCAGTCCGGGACTCGCTCACAGGACGCTCCGAGCGGTGAGGGGACGCTAAGTGACTGGTAGGTGGCTGCTACAAACCCGGTGCACACGTTCGAGACCCGGTATGGGCCCGGTATGGAAACGGCCAAAATTTTCAACAAAAGTCAATCTGGGCGGTGAAGACGGCAGAAGCACGTTCAACACCCGGTATGCGCCCGGTGAGAACGGTCAGAAGATGGCAACGAAACAGTGAAAAGATTAATTTTATGAATTTTTTTTGCGGCCGGGGACAAGTTCGCTCTAAACCCAACGTTCTGGACTCTGTTGTTTTTTTAATAGCCCGGCAGGTGGACGGTAGGCCTACACGGCAGAGTGTGAGAGCTCCATTAAGCATATTGTACGTAGTACATGTAACAGTAGCAGTGGTTAGCCAATGGCAGCGCTATATCAACTTTATGCCATAACGTACGTGCAATGAGAGAGGGAAAGGCTATAGAGAGACGGAGAAGGGTGATATATATAATTATGTTCACATGTATATGTATATATATATATATATACATGTTGATATACACTTGCTTTCAAATCCATAAAAGATGAATTGATATTTTCAAACAAAAGTTAATTATTGTGCATCAAGATGTGACTAGATGCAAAGTGCAATGGTTTGGAATACGATTTTCAAGATCCCCTCGAGTTAAGGAGTACATTATAATGAATATGATGACATCTGTACTTACCAAAGACTCAATATTACCAAGGACCTAAGTTGTACCGTTGCTTTAAAGATTCCGACATGTGAAGAAAAAAACTCTTAAGATCGACTGCGTGCTCATTTCATCAATGTGTTGTGTTGTTTGCTTTGATGTCTGATTTTACCGCAAAGACTAACGGATACACAGAAAATTTAGAATGAAATGTATCAAGGTATTAATGTGATTAAATCACCATGTCTACTAAAATCGGTATATTAAAAAAAAAAGCATGTGCTAGAATAAAAGAAACTTACTTTTTGTGAAAATTATGTATTCAATTTATTTGCTGTATCATGATTATTTCACTAAAAAGTATTTATTGGGATCTAGATGTCAAGAAAATAAGTTGCATGACGATCAAGGTGAAAATGTGGAGGTGAAATTTAGTGGTATTTTGGTGCAGTGGTTTCTTCACTAGACTTTATTCACAAGGTTGAGGGTTTGATTCCCAACCAGCTAAATGACGCCATTGGCAAGACTCTTATCTTCATGTGCCATTACCCACCTGGATGAGTGACGTACTCAGCCAGTCGCTGAATAAGCGGGGGAGGGGGGGGGGGGGGGTTGTAAGAGGACATATTTTTTTGTTTTTGTTCCAAAATTGGAAAATTTGGCCGACCGGCCCTGGGGGGACGGGGGGGGGGAGGAGGGGTCGGGTTTTTTGGTCACCGATTACCACCTTTTTTCTTTCTTTTTTTTACAAAAAAAAGGGGGGGGGAAGGGGTTTTCCTCCAAAACATACATATACAAAAGTTCAAGGGGGGGGGGGGTTAACCCCAACCCCCCCTCCCCCCTGCGTACGCGCCTGGCCATTACCCATCCAGGTGACGTATAGCCTACCGGGTAGATCGATTTCGGATCTTGATTCCGGGTGGTCTGCTCTGTACAACTGCCCATCCAAGGGCTCTGTGGTGTTTACCGAAAAGTGTATAGATAAATACTTGAAAAATATAAAGATTACAATTCAAACTGCGAAAACAAAAAATTTAGCTATCAAAAGGCTTATGTATGATTTGAATGAATCTCAAGTTATTTATAGGTCTGTAATATTGAATAGCCTTGCCCGAGTGGATTACGACGGTATATCAAACGAGTTGAAGAACATATATCACTGTATATGTAGGCCGACAATCAAGTGCAGTATCTTCTGAACAAGTGCGATGGTTGCGTCCAATTTGAGAAAATCCACTTTTTAAAATTCTCAATTGTATAGTACTTACTTTAATTCAAGATTTAACAAACTGATGAAATACCGTCATCTTTCTTAAGTAGTAGGATCCGTGAGTGTCTGTGTCTGTGTGTGCGTGGGTGTGTGCGTACGTGCGTTTAATTATGTACATATATAAGCAATCAATATTGAAAACGTTTTTGTTTGTATTGCACATTTGGAGAAAAAAAACGAAATTGCTTTAATTTTTTTTAAAGTGTACAGGGTGGTTCAATTGGCTGTCTTGATCAGCATATTCTAATTATTCTTAGTACAGGTTGGTTTAATTGGCTTTCTTGATGATCATATCCTAAGTATTCTTAGAGAGCCCTAGAGAAAAATTCGCTGTACTCTCTTAGTGTCAATTGTATGGTACTTACTACAATTCAAGATTTAACAAACTGATGAAAAACAACCATCAATGTTAAGTAGTAATTTTCGTGGGTGTGTGTGCAGGGGCGTCGCTAAACCTTTTTCAGAGGGGGTGGGGGATGTAGAGGCCATCGATTACCGAAAAAATTAGCCACCAATTACCGACAAATATATTAATGCAATTGTCCCAATGTCTGCCAATTAAACCCTATAAACCCGGGGCCGGGGCTTATTTTGGTTTCCTAAGAACTATTAGGCGCGTGGCTAGGATTATATATATATATATATATATATATATTTTTTTTTTTTTTTTTTTTTTTTTTTTTTTGGGGGGGGGGGGGGGGCGTTAATGAGCACGCGATGCGTGCAAATCACTTACATAGCGCGAAGCGCGTTCCTTAGGGGTGGGTGCAAGGAGGGGTTGTTTCCCCCTCCCGCGGGAGGCGCGGAAGCTTTGTCGTTTCATTAATTTATTAAGAAAAGAAGACGATTGGTTATACCGTTCTCGACTCTCAGTATTCCTTGTCTGAATTCAGTTCCCACCTCCTGCGCGAAGTGCGAAAGCTTTGACGTTTCATTAATTAATAGAGAAATAAGACGATTTGTTGTACCGTTCTCTACTCTTAAACCTTGTCTGAATTCAGTTCCCCCCCCCCCCGTTTGAAGTTTCATTAAATTATTATTCTAAATCCTTGTCTGAATTCATTTTCGCCCCTTCCGCGCGAAGCGCAGATGCTTTGATACAAAAAATTGTTAGAGAAAGAAGACAATTCATTATACTGTTCCCGACTCTTTATTCTTGTTTCATTAAATAATTAGATAATGAAAGCGATTCTTTGTACCGTTCTCGACTCTAAACTTTTGTCTAAATTCAGTTTCTTCGCTCTCGTGCGAAGCGCGGAAACTTTGACGTTTCATAAAATTATTAGAGAAAAAAGACGATTCGTTGTACCGTTTCCGACTCTAAATTTTTGTCTGAATTCTGTTGCCCCCTTCCGCGCGAAGCGCGGAGACTTTGACGTTTCATTAAATTATTAGAGAAAGAAGATTTTGTTGCACCGTTTTCGACCCTAAATCCTTGTCTGAATTAAGTTTTCCTTTTATCGCGCGACGCGCGGAAACTTTGACGTTTCATTAAATTATTAGAGAAAGAAGACTCTTAATCATTGTCTGAACTTTAATGTATTTTTGTTCGATAAAAGTTACAATTCGTAGGGAGAAAAAAAAATTGCCGGCCGACCGACATAATACATCAAACCGACTTCAAACTACTGCATTGATATATACACGAGGATTGAATACCGACACAGCGGACCCGACACAGCAACATATCTATGTGTATCCTTCTTGCTCCCTTCGACAACACGACTACACCCAACAACCCCCTTCTCTCTATTACTCCCACCCCTCTTCTCCCAGGCTCTTACCCCCTTCTCTCTCTTTCTTTTCCCGTTTCTTTTGTTTCCTTTTTTTCTTTTACTTTTCTTTTTTCCCCCTTTCTTTCCTCTTTTCTGTGTGTGTGTGTGTGTATATGGTAGGATGCGTGTACTGAGTGATTTAATTGGCTTTCTTGAAAGCATATTCTAAGTCTTCTTAGAGAGCCTTAAAGAATTCGAATTATCATTTCAAAAAGGTCAACAAGAAAAGTATTTTAACGGCTCTATTTTCATGCTTAACAGAATCCTTTCCTTCTGTACGCCAAAGTGGAAGCATACACTGACTGCAACGAGTTTCTATAAAATCATCTTGATATAGGTAATAAAGTAGATGATGCATGGAAGCAGCATCATATCAATATCAGGTCTTCACACCGGAGATTAATGTACAGTGGCTTAGAAGGGCTTGATTTAACATGGAGAACCTTACTAAAGAAGACTCAATTTATTCAAACATAACTGATAATATTGGCAATTACCAACGCCTCTCTATTAAATGGCAGATAAACTTCTACATCATCGGTTATTCTATCAGCGCACTTCTCTCCATTCTTTTCAATTTCGCTAATATCGTGACCGTTCCGCGAGTTAAAAACTGTTTTAGTGATAATACTAAACTTTGTCTCATGTGTCTCGCAGTTGTTGATCTATTCACTGGGTTAATCTGCTCAACTTCAGGTGTCTTATTTGTACTTGTTGCTGTTCCCACTTTCGTCTACGACACTATTGTTGTTTTGTGCACAGCGTCTGTATGGCAATCAATGTTGATTTTGACGCTAGCATCCGGAGACCGGTATGTCGCGGTAACCCGACCGCTTCGGTACTTCACGCTCGCTTCCCGTAAGCGTATGATCGGTGCGTTAACCGCTGTGATAATAGTTCCTCTTTTCCTCTCCGCTGGATCCTATCTGCAGAGCGTACTGACCGGTGTTTGTAATCCTTTCACTAGTATCTGCCTATCTCTTATCAATCCAAGTCATATCATCTATAACATCCTCCCGTTTACTGCTGTTGTTATTACTACATTCATGAACGCTCGGCTCGTGTGCATCTCACGTCGCCATGCGCGTCAGATCGCCGCGCAGGAAGCCGTGGTCAACGCCGGTAACATCGCATTACCGCTGCCGAGTGCAGCAGGAACGAAAGGACTTAAGACTATCCTTGTCGTCACCGGTGTGTTCTATCTAGCTTGGTTACCAGGTACCATCATCACCTTCCTAATCCCTATACCTAGTATCAATGTCCCTCTAGTTCTGATCATTTTCGTGAGGTATGCTATTACTTCTAACAGCTGGTGGAATGCTTGCGTCTATTGCATCATGAATAAGTCCTATCGCAACGTTCTTTTCAAGATGCTACGTAAATACGTTGGTGCTTGTATCAGACCACGTGATGATGTTCATGAGAATGTGCCGGTCTATCAATTACCCTACGTCCCTCCTATGTAATCAACTTCATCGTAAAGGTGACAATCATTAATAACAAAAGTGACGAGGCGTCCTTTGCTGACGCCGGAATGTGTCTGCGATAGCTGGCGCTACCGTTGGCAAGTCATGACATCGTGAGGGAGCTGAATGCAAAATGAAAAATGAACAGTGCTGAGAATCAAGTGCACGCACTGATTTTTCTTCAATAACCCAAACGGAATGACGTCTCTTCTACAGGCGCGTACACAGGGGGGGGGGGGGGGGGGTGTTTGGGGGGTTAAACCCCCCCCTTTGGTAATTTTTTTTTGTGTAAACCCCCCCTAAATTTCTCTAAAATCCCCCTTTTGGATTTTTTTTTTTTATTAAAAAAAAAAAAAAAAAAAAATTCCCATGGTTGACCTAAAAAAGCTGACCTTACCCCCCCCCCCCCCCCAACGGAGCAAATGTCAAATTTTCAAATTTCGAGACAAAAAAAAAAAAAAAAATGTGTCCTCTTACCCCCCCCCCCCCCCCCCCCCCCCCGCTTATTCAGCGGCTGGCTGAGTCGTTGCGAAATTTTCGGCCCGATTTATAAATGTTAAACCCCCCCCCCCCCCCCCCCCCTTGAAAAAATCCTGCGTACGCGCCTGCTCTTCTACAACGTGCATTGATTGTTGACCCAACTGAATTTCTTGATGAGAATTTAGTCTGAGACGTATTTATTGATAATACAGAACGTATTGATCGATCTGCACCTGAAAATGATTACTAAGATCATATTTTCCCTACCCCCGTCTCTCCACTCTTCACAGCCCCTTTTCTCGCTCTCTTTCTCTATCTCTGTCTCTCTCTGTGTCTCTGGAAGTGGAGAAGAGATCATCTAGACTTGGTCTGCGCTCAGGAAATGTCCACCAGTTCCAGGAAGGTCGAACGGCAGTTTTGGCGCGACAGGTCTTTCTCTGTAGCAGCCCCGCGTTTTGTGGTATGCACTCCCTTCATACATTAAACTGAGCAAAACAATTGAACTATTCCACAAGAAGTTAAAGACCTACCTTATGAAGGAAAAATATGATTAACTCTCATGAACATTTCAATTTCTTACTGAATCTGTAATTTTTTTTTTGATTTGTTGATTTATTATTCGTTAGTTAACTTTAATTTGTTTATTTTTTGTATTTGAAATGTTAATAGTGAATCTTTTTTTTGCGCCTTGAGTGCCAATATAGGCAGATATGTGCGCTATACAAATCTTAAATTATTATTTATATATACAGTCAAACCTGACTATAGCGACCACCCAAGGGAAACACAAAAAGTGGCCTTTGTAGACAGATGGTCTTTGTAGACAGGTTCCTTTATTACATGATTCAACGGGAATCCATTTTCAAGGGATACAACAAATGTGGCCTGCGTAGACAGGTGGTCTTTGTAGACAGGTGGTCACTAAAGCAGGTTTGACTGTATATATATATATATATATATATGTTTCTGTCTCTGTCTCTGTCTCTCTCACTTAATCCCCCTCTTTCTCTCCCCTACTCGTCCACTTATATATACCTTAAGGATACTACTTATTTGTACATATTTTATTTTGTGATATATATTTGCGATATATTTTATATATATATATATATATATATATATACATCGGAGTAATACTTTTGACAAACGAAGTACCTGTACGTAGTTATTCAAATAAGTACTCAATTTTGTATCACCTGACATGAGCCTTGACATGGTACTTGTTTAGGTGGTTTGCATCTTTGCCAGTTTACATGGAGTGTCAGGCGCGTACACAGGGGGGGGGGGGGGGTTTGGGGGGTTAACCCCCCCCCCTTTGGTATTTTTTTTGTGTAAACCCCCCCCCCCTAAATTTCCCTAAAACCCCCCCCCCTTTTTGATTTTTTTTTTTTAATTAAAAAAAAAAAAAAAAAATTCCCATGGCTGACCTCAAAAAGATGACCTTACCCCCCCCCCCCCCCTCCCAACGGAGCAAAATGTCAAATCTTCAAATTTCGATACCAAAAAAAAAAAAAAAGTGTCCTCTTACCCCCCCCCCCCCCCCCCCCCCCGCTAATTCAGCGGCTGGCTGAGTCGTTGCGAAATTTTCGGCCCGATTTATAAATGTTAAAACCCCCCCCCCCCCCCCCCCCCTTGAAAAAATCCTGCGTACGCGCCTGTGGAGTGTATTAGTTGATTGGTAATTAGTCGGTTCATTTGTTTTGCCTGACTGCTCAGAATGCATATGACTGTATCCTCACTGAGGAACTTGGTTATCAGGATTAATGCCTTACCAAAGGGCACTACCGCATCGACTTGGTTCCGAACCCGGGATCTCCCGGGTACGAGACTACTGATCTACCACTGAGCCATTGCGCCTCCATTCCTTTTTTCAATATTCATATGAAAACAAAAGTGTTCTCATGTCTGTTGTTATCAACAGATTTATTTAATAATGATATTTCCTCAAATAAATTTAGAAATTGTTTTCTGTGTTCATTTAGCGTTCAAACTTCAAAGTAATGCTTTGTCTGATAAGGGTGTTCCATCCTACTAGTGTAAATATGAATGATTAAATAAATAAATGGAAGCAGAAAGCGAGACTTGACTCTGATATTTACTAGGTCTCCGTTGTAAGTATAAAGAACCTACATATTAAAGCATATTGTACGTAATACATGTAACAGTAGCAGTGGTTAGCCAATAGCAGCGCTATATCAACTTTATGCCACAACATGCAACTTTAAATATAACGACAAGTGCCTTTGTTGTTTTGTCGGTGGTGGTGGTGGTGGTGGTGTTTGTGGTGGTGGTTGTGGTTGTTGGAGGAGAACACGGCGTTGGAATGGGGATGATAAAGGGAGAGGAGCGAAAGAAAGACAAAGAAACAAAGATAGTGCGAAGCGTTCGTTCGTGTCTCCTTAGATCAAGATTAAATCTTGTTCGTCGGAGTAGTTGCTACAACCGGCCGTATCAGACACGTTGCCCCGGGGTGCGAGATAGGACTCTTGTACCGTGCCCCCATTTAAAACAATTATACAATAACAATTAACATTACATTTAATTAAAAGTATGAAAGTAATAAAATTACTCTCACCTTACGGGAAAAGATATTATATATATGATTTATGAATCAATTGATTTGGTCGATCCAGTTCGATGGCTCAAACACGGCACTACTGGACAGATATCCTAATAATTACAGAGCTTGGTCTTGTTGCTCTGTTCGCCAGTAGTTTAAGGATATGGAATCCCGCGGCACATTACTCACAAGAGATTTAAGAGGCCAAGCTTATCATAGCCTATAATAAGTAATGTTGTGCATGTACCACCCACCCGATCGATCAAAAACTCAAAACTCAGAACTGAATGAAATTTAAATAACGAAATGGTAACCATCTAAAGTTTCATAATTGTGATAAATATCTATAAAGATTTATCAAGCAACAACAATAAATAGTATCATGTTAAAGAAAGGTGCGAAGCGAAAATGAGAGAGGGAAAGGCTATAGAGAGACGGAGAAATATGATATATATAACTATGTTCACATGTATATATAGATAGATAGATAGATAGATATTTGGTTTTATTCAAGTACTGATTAAAAAGTCCGAAGACTAAACAAGTCAGTTAACAATATAAAATGCATAACAAAAAATATAACAAGGTAAAAAAACACATGGATGAATTAAATCATTAATAAGTTAAACAAAATATAATAAGTATATAAGTACATAATAATAAGTAAATAAATAAGTATATACAATTACCATAAATAATTATATATAATACGATCATTGCTACAGTGAAAGGACTTGGAATTCAAATTAGAAACAAATTAAAACAGCTTTGGGAGATCATACAATTACCATAAATAATTATATATAATACGATCATTGCTACAGTGAAAGGACTTGGAAAATTAAAAACAAATTAAAACAGCTTTGGGAGATCATACAATTACCATGAATAATTATATATAATGTGATCATTGCTATAGTGAAAGGACTTGGAATTCAAATTAAAAACAAATTAAAACAGCTTTGGGAGATCAAACGATTGCCATAAGTAATTATATATAATGTGATCATTGCTATAGTGAAAGGACTTGGAATTCAAATTAAAAACAAATTAAAACAGCTTTGGGAGATCACATTAATACTAATGCTTGAGATAATCATTATGCAATAATTAATTAACATTTAAAAATTCACAATGGCGAACATATGAGGGCATAACTAAGAAGTTGAATTCAGAAGTTTTATAAAGTAAGGAATGGGAGAAAGCTTGCGTCTTTGAGTTCGTATACGAGGTAATGTCATGTGTGTAGAGTTCCGAAGATTGCGACCTGTGATTGATTTTCTACTTTGTGGCAAGAGATGGCGATGGTCAGGAGAGGTTAAAACTGATTTGGCAAATTTAGTTGCTAGTTCGAGACGCCTATTACTAAGGGATTCTAGTTTTAAAGTTTTGAGGAGTTCACTATATGGCAGTAAATTTGGGTAAACGATTATCCTCAAGGCTCGCTTCTGAATACGTTCGATGGTTTCAGCCTGAGCCTTCGTTATACCAGAAGTCCAAACGGGGGCCGCAAACTCCAGTACCGGTCGAATGTAGAGCTGATAGATTGTCACCAAATCTTGAGTGTTGACCCCATTCCTTTTTAACTTATTGATGATGAACAATCTCCTCGACGCGTTTGATATGATGCGATCGACTTGTTGATCCCACTTGAGGTCATATTGGATGATGACCCCGAGCAACTTAATCGCGGAAACAATCTCCAGGCTAGCTGAGTCGATGAGCAGATCAGGAGGATGCTGTGGAGTTCGGAGAAAGGAGACTTGCATAGCCTTGCACTTAGCGGCATTCGGGATAACATCATTTTCCTGACACCAACTAGTAAGGCAATCGACATGAGACTGTAATTGGGACGGTTGAAATTTGTTAATGACCTCCAACAAAGTTAGGTCATCTACGTACTTCCAGCGGTTCTCAGTCATCTGTGCAGCATCGTTAGCTAATACCAAAAAAAGTATCG